AGAGTTCAAGCCCCACGGCCGACCAAAAAAAAAAAAAAAAAGTGCAAGGATGGCAAAGGCAAGATGGGACTGTTAGCCCCTGAAGTGGTATATGATAAGCGGGGACCTTGTCATCTCAGATGTTGTAATTTCAGGGCTGCAAACAGTGTCTTTTATGGTCCCTATATGCATTCTCTATTGTAGCCCTGCCCTGCTTCTATGAAGTGGTAGGGTTCTATCCTCTCAGACAAGGGAAATGCCTGAAGGTAGGATGCCTGCTGTTTGGATGTGGAGGGGAGGACAGTAGATAAGGGAAGAGTGGTCCAGGCAGTGGGCATCTGTACAAAGGCTTGGGAGACTTGAGACTGGCTGCAGCTTGACCTGGACCAAGCCCAAGCTGGCCAGTGTCTTGAGAATGTGATCATCCTGCCTTCCCTGAACTTCTGGGCATTCATCTTTGAGGGATTCTCCCTCTGCCCCCTGCTTCTCCCCCCCTACCTCCATTTTTGAGTTAGCAGGAAAAGGTGCAGGTGAACTGAAGAGATGGGATGTGCGGTTCCCACAGCAAGACAGAACCTTAGAGGTGCAAGCCTGGTCTGCTTGCTGACAGCACTGACTGAAAGCTAGGCTGTTCTTTGTACGCTTGCACAATCTTTTTTATTAAATCTTTTCTTTAATAAGATGTCAGGGAAATCTGTGTCAGTGTGAATCTGCATAACCATGTGAAAAAATTACAGTGTAAGCCAGGTGCTGATGGCTCATGCTTATAATCCTAGCTACTCAGGAGGCTGGGATCTAAGAACCACAATTCAAAGCCAGTCCCAACAGGAAGGTCCATGAAACTTACCTCGAAATTAATCACCAAAAAGCTGGAGGTATGGCTCAAGTGGTAGAGTACTAGCCTTAAGCACAAAAGCTGAGGGACAGTGACCAATCTCTTGAATTCAAGCTCCAATCCAGCATATGTGTGTGTGTTTACATACAAACACAAATTACAGTGTAATTCATGTTTCATAACTCACCTTTAAAAATTGTTATTATAAAGTTGATGTACAGAGGGTTACAGTTAACTTAATGTGTGCAATGCAGTAGTTACTATGACATGAACAGGCTTGTTCAACCCCAACCTCTGTCTCCCATAACATTTGCATCACCCCTAAAAGAACTACCATCCCCATTGGTACTCTCCACTTCCCCACTATTAATCTGCCTTAAATTTGTTTTTTAATGACTTTGTTGAAATGATGTATATACAGTGTGGTTCATCTCTTGAAGTATGCAAGGTATTAGTTTTGTAACATGTCCACAGATAATAATATTCAGCCACACAGATTTTGTTGGTCCTGGGGCTTGAACTCAGGGCCTGGGTGCGTCCCTCAGCTCTTCAGTTCAAGGATGGCACTCTACCACTTGAGCCATATCACCGCTTCTGGCTTTTTCTGCTTATGTGATGCTGAGGAATCAAACCCAGGGCCTCATGCATGCAAGGCAAGCGCTCTACCACTGAGCCACCTTCCCAGCCCCTTAAAGCCTTATTGTGATTAGTCATGGACTATTACAGTTCATCCATTTACATGCAATTTAGTGGGTTTTAGTGTAGTCAAAATCCATCACCACTGTCAACACCAGAATTTCCAAAGGAAGCCCCTCCTCTTCTGTAGCCTCTGGCACCAGGAATCCGGAGTCTAGCCTATGGATTTGTTTGAAGTACATTTTCCATCAGTGGGGCCTTTTGTGTCTGATTCTCACTGACCACCTGGCCCTCAAGGTTCCTTGCCTGTGTTATCCTGCTCCTGTTCAAGGCGGCATGCTGTTCCAGTCTGGATGGACCATGCTTTGTATTACTTACCTTGGGTGGTTCCACCTTTTGGATGGGAGTACAAGTTCAGGGTGGACGTTTTCCTTGCTTGGGGTGGTGGCTTACTAGGGGTGGAACTGCTGAGTCCCAGGTGTCATGCCATTTCCACACCGGATGCTCTTCATACCCATCTGCTAGCTGTCTTGAGCTTGGTGCTGCTTGCTCCTTCAAGTGGTCTCAGATGCCTAGTATTTCCTGGACAGAGCAGGCTGCCTGACAGAGCAAGTAGCACCCCGTTTCCAGTCCCAGGCGACTACAGGGGTTCTGGTCCCAGTCCCCTGTCCAATGCTGTGACCATCCCAAAGGGGGCTCCTAGGTCAGTGCCCCAGCCACTAGCTCTGGAGAACCATGTTGCGGTATGCTCTGAGATTGCCCCGTATTGGCAGTAGGGGGCTTAGAAGGGTAGAAAGACATTCCCTCAGGATGGGGATAAGGGATGGTCCCACCGTGACTCCCTCAGACCCAGCCCGACCTGCCTCTGCCCACAGCCCCAGTGGGAAGAAGTTCCGCAGCAAGCCACAGCTGGCTCGCTACCTGGGAGGCTCCATGGACTTGAGCACCTTTGACTTCCGTACTGGCAAGATGCTGATGAGCAAGATGAACAAGAGCCGCCAACGTGTGCGCTACGACTCCTCTAACCAGGTTAAGGTGAGCATCGGCGGGGCGGGGCCTCCCTCTCAGGTGCGTGGCCCAGCGGAGCTGCCCCTTGCAGGGCTGCCAGCAGGCGCATGGCGAGGACACAGCCCCCGAGGCCTTGGAGCCAGGGCTGTGCCCGCCGGAGCCCCTGCCCTGCATGATGGCCCTGGCTGAGCATGCGCCCGGTCCCCTTGGCCCGCAGTGGACCCCAGCGGGGGCCGCCCGCTGCAGCGCCTTGTCCCCGCAGGGCAAACCTGACCTGAACACCGCACTACCCGTGCGGCAGACAGCATCCATCTTCAAGCAGCCAGTGACCAAGATCACTAACCACCCTAGCAACAAAGTGAAGAGTGATCCGCAGAAGGCGGTGGACCAGCCTAGGCAGGTGAGGCTGAGTGCATCCCTGAGGCCTTGGCCAGACCCGACCCCTTGTGAAAGCTGTGGGCGCGTCCCCACTTTTATAAAGGAGCACCTTCCTGACCTGGGGATTTCGTCAGAGCCCTTAGCCCCTGCTCTTCTCCCCATAGGTGGTATAGCTCCTCCCAGTCTACTCTGAAAACTTTGGTCTGTGGGCAGATGTGTTAAATGACACAGCACATAGATGGCTCTGTAACCTGCTTTGTAAACTGAGGAGCACTCGTGATTTCCACATTCATTTACAAATACCCACTGAATACCTGGGTGTGGTGCAGGAGGAAGGGGTAAGGAGGTTCAGGGCCTCCCCCATAGGCTTAGCCCAGGGAATGTTGGTTCCCTCCTTACACACCGTGCTGCCCTTCTGCCTTGGCAGCTGTTCTGGGAGAAGAAGCTGAGTGGACTGAGTGCCTTTGACATCGCAGAGGAGCTGGTCAGGACCATGGACCTCCCCAAGGGCCTGCAAGGTAAGCCTGACTTCTGGGCATCTCCCCTCCCCACTCTGAAGATGGAGCCAGGCTGGTCTGAGGAGGGCCAAGACTCTTACTTGACTTTGGGGAGACAGGTGGAAACAAAGATGGAGCTTGTGTGGCCTGAGTCCTGGGGGCACAGAGGGGCAACTTGATTAGCTTTCTGGTGTTCTGAAAAGACCTGTGGGAAGAGGGGCCTGGGAGTTTGGCCCATTGAGAAACTCCTCGCTTCATCCCTAGCACCACTAGAGGGAAAACCCTAGTCCCTGCAGAGCTTTTTGATTTTGTCCCAGCCCTGGAAATCATACCCCTGCTCTTAGTAAGGGAACCCCTGAGCCTTGGTATTTTTTCCCTGCTGTGAAAGTGGTGGCAGGCAGTAGGCTGCCTGGGGCCTTTTCTGCTTCTTCCTATGACCACCCCCACCAATGGCTGTCCTCTGTCCTGGCAGGGGTGGGCCCTGGGTGCACAGACGAGACGCTGCTGTCAGCCATCGCCAGCGCCCTGCACACCAGCACCATGCCCATCACAGGGCAGCTCTCAGCTGCTGTGGAGAAGAACCCTGGTGTGTGGCTGAACACCACGCAGCCCCTGTGCAAAGCTTTCATGGTGACCGACGAGGACATCAGGTAGCTAGTGGCCTGTCCCGTACTTCCCACCTCCTCATCACCTGTACTGCCAATGCTGTTGGGCTTTAGAACAGAATGGGCCAGGCCCTGGCTCTTGAAGAATGTGCTAGAAAGGAAGAGGGTTCTTTCAACTAGTGTTAGGCATCTGGAACAAATGCTTTGTGGTACCTGCTTAAAGGCTCTTGGCAGTCGTGGCCCTGGAGCATAGGGTTTGGAGCCACCAGAGCTCAGGCTGTCTACTGGCTGGCAGTGATGTGGGCCCTGCATTTGGGTTGAAAGTCACTTTACACTCCATGAGTTGTGGGAGTGAAGAATGCCATCGTGAGTTGAGTGGCTCATGTCTGTAATCCTAGCTACTTAGAAGGCTAAGGAGGATCAAGGTACAAAGCCAAATGGAGCTAGAAAGTCTGTGAGATTTATACCACCTATTAACTATCAAAAAGCCGGAAATGGAGCTGTAGCTCCAAGTGGTAGAACACTAGCCTTAAGCACAAAATCTCAAGACAGTGCCCAGGTCCTGAGATCAATCCCCAGTAACTGGCAAAAGAAAAAAGAAAATGTAAAAAGAGAACACGGCCAGGCACTGGAGGCTCACACCTATAATCCTAGCTACCCAGGAGGCTGAGATCTGAGGACCATGGTTTCAAAGCCAGCCTGGGCAGGAAAGTCTGTGAGACTCATCTTCAGTTAACCAGCAGAAAACTGGAAGTGGTGCTGTGGCTTGCCTTGAACTGAATAGTTCAGGCCCAGAGTTCAAGCCCCATGACCGACAAAAAAAAGAAAAGGAAGAAAAGAACAAGGTATTGGAAATGGGATCTTTAAAAGCCATGTGGAACTTTTAGAAGTGCAGAACTGGCAGTAGATATAGTGGACTCTGGGACCTGGAAGGGACTAAAGGTGGTTAGATTGGAGCAAGACAGCCAGGATGTGCCCCAGCAAGGTGGGACTGCAAAGCAAGGAAGACAGGCCATTCCTGTCGAAAGGGAACCCAGAGGGTCTGAATGAGTTTCTGGTAAACTAAAGACAAAGAGCACCCTAAAGCACGCAGAAGAGAAGGTGGATGGTGTGTACAGGGACTGGCGACAGCTTCTCAGCTGCCGTGTTACCAGAAGGCTGTGGGCAAAGAGATGGTCAGCACTCGTCCCTAGCCCTTGGAAGCCAAGAGGCAGCACTCTGCTTAGACAGGCATAGAGCACATAGGTGTATTAGGTTTATTTGTTTTTGTTTTTTGCTGGTACTAGGGCTTGAACTCAGGGCCTCAAGCTCTCACCTGACATTTTCACTCAAGGCTGGTGTTCTACCACTTTGAGCTACACTTTCTTTCCCTCCCTCTCTCCCTTTCCCCTTCCCTCCCCTTCCAGTCTTCTCCCTCCCTCCTTCCCCCCCCCTTTCTTTTATGCAGATCTTGGGGCTTGAACTCAGTCATAGGCGCTGTCCCTGTTCTTTTTTGCTCAAGGTTAGCACTCTTCCACTTGAGCCACAGCTCCACTTCCAGCTTTTTTGGTGCTTAATTGGAGATGAGAGTCTCACACTTTCCTGCCCAGACTGGCTTCAAGTCATGACTCAAATCTCAGCCTCCCAAGTAGCTAGGCCTCCAGCCTAGTTTTCTTGTTTTCTTTGCAAACGTGCTAAGGGATCATGAGAGAAGGGCAGGGGGGAGGGGGCTCACGGTTCCATCTCCATCCATCCCCAGCACCTAGCTGCCACCTGGGCATCCCCTGACAGCCTCTGTCTCCCCAGGAAACAGGAAGAGCTGGTGCAGCAGGTTCGGAAGCGGCTAGAGGAGGCGCTGATGGCTGACATGCTGGCCCACGTGGAGGAGCTGGCCCGGGATGGTGAGGCGCCATTGGACAAGGCCTGCGTGGACGAGGATGACGACGATGAGGATGAAGATGAGGATGAGGAGCCTGAGCCAGACCAGGAGCTGGAGCATGTCTAGAGCAGGTGCTACAGGTCACCAGGACAGGATTCTACACCTAGGCAAAGGGTCTCAGGGACAAGACAGGCCCATGAAAGTGCCACCTCTTCCCTTGATATGTGGTGGTGCCTGGGCAAGGGACCCCCTAACACCCCAGCACCTGTGCTTGGAACCATGATCCTCAGATCAGCCTCCGAGTAGCTAGGATTACAGGTGTGAGCCAGCGCCCAGCTGCCCAGAACTTGTGTCCCAGAAGAATCCAGGTCCCCATGCCTCATTCATTTGCTAATGGTATCCTCTTTCTTCCAGATGCCCTGCCCAAGGACCCCATGCTGTGGAGCACCAGCTGGCATGGCATGGCTGCCTGCACTCAGCTTCTCTTGGGACTAGGCCAAGAGGCCAGGCCCAGTGGGTAGGGGGCACCTTTCATCCTTCCTCCTTCAATGAGCCTCTTCTCTGGGCCTGGAGAGGTATGACTGGAGGAAGATGACTCCCTTTCCCTGCTGCAGCTCTTCTTTGAAGGCCATGGTTCTGGAAGAGCTGCTGGCCACTGGGCCCCGCCTGGCAGGAGGTTCCTTCATGGTGAACTTGGGGCCAGTGATGCCTCAGCCTTGAAGCCAGCCTCCTCTCGGTGGCCACTGCCCAATGATCCTCAACACAGCAGGGGCCAGCAGACTGGCCTGGGCGCCATGGAGCCCTAGCACCTTGTGGTTGTTGGCTGCCATATCTCCAGCAGCTGGGGAGACACTTGAAATTTGGTCTACCTCCTCCTTGAGCAGCGTGAGGAGGCGAGAAGGGCTGACCTGCAGGCTGGGGGTCCAGACAGCTCCTCTCACACAGGACCACCTAGCAGGCAGAGCTGGCAGCTCCCAGCCAGAACCAGCTGCAGCCCAGGAAGTCACTTTCCTTCAATAAATGACACAAATGGCTGAACTTTGGCTGGACCTTGTGTATGAGCTGCCTGGCTTCATCTGAACCACTCTATTTCCCTCTATAGCAGGGCAGGAGACTCTCAGAGATCCAGGAGGAGGCAGCAGTTCTGAGCTGGGGCCCTGGGACAATTCATCCTGCTCTCCAGGTACCACCAGCAGCGGCCTCTTGGTGTGTGATAGTGCAAAATGCTCCTTGAGCACCCTTTGTGTCCAGTCCCTCAAGCAGGAATCTATACCAGGCAAACTGCCAGGTGGACACTGAACCCGTACCTCTCCCCTGGCTCCTGGGGCCAGTGAGCCGCCAAGGATCTGACTGTGGCAGCACCCCCGCCCTTCCTGTCCCACACTGAAGAGGTAGGGGTTGTGGGGCAAGAGCTAGCATGCTATGTGCCTGGGCTCCATAATCCCACCTCCAGGGAAGCCCCTTGCTGGGTCCCGGCCTGGGTAATCCACCCAAGAGGTTGGGTTTTCACCATTTGGGGACATACATGCTACAGAATGAAGAGTTAGCGGTGGTGTGCAGGTGGCACCTGAGTCAGGTCCGCATGATCCTTTAGCCTAGAGGAAGGGGAAGGAGATTGAGCCCCATGCAGATCTTTGCCTGCCTGAGTGCTGCAGGGTAGCTGAGGTCAGACCCATCCCCCTCACTCAGGAGGATGTCCTAGAAAGACCTCAAGGGGCACCCAGCCCTAGGGTGGGGGACCCCAAAAGGCTGTCCTCTGGATATATGGACACCTGCAGCTATGCCAGCCTCCTGCACTTGCCACCCTGTCTGTTTGACAACCCTGAGAAAGTGACCCTTGCTGTTCTGCCTTGTGCTGGGCACCCAGAGCCTCTCCTGGATTCCTGGCTCCAGCCCACAGCTCAGTCTGAAGCGGCCCAGACCCCACTCTGTTCACCTACCATTTAGGGGTCTCTGTCATTCATCCTCTCTGCTGAGCTTTATCCCCAAAGCAGACATGGCTTCCTTGGCATGGGCTGATAGTAGTTCATCCCCAGCTCCAGGCATCCTCAGGCCATCCTATATCAGCTGTGACCAGGGCTGAGAGCAACCACCAGGGGCCCAGTGCTCACCAGGGGAGGGGGGAACTATAACTCCCAGCACCCCTGCTGCTCCTCTCCCATCCCTGCAGGCCCAGCCTATGGACAACTCTGACCATCCCTTACCTCGTCCCCCTCAGAAGCCCCTAACCCAGGGACCTATGTCCTAGCAAGTCACCACTGTGGGCTTACACAGGGAGGACATCAGAAATGTCCTATTGGATAACACTGTTCTGGGCAGGAATCCATAGGCTTTGGGGAGGCTGGACACCGCAATGTGATCCTGTAAAACTTGGTCAAGAGCCATGTGGCTCAAAAGTGTCCATCATTGAATGAAATGACATAGTGAGGTTCACACACAGCATGCTCCATTTATCATTTTAAATAACTTACTGGGCTAGGTGCTGGTGCTGGTGACTCACCTGTAATCCTGCTACTCAGGAGGCTGAGATCTGAGGATCATGGTTCACCAGCCCTGGCAGGAAAGTCTGTGAGACTATCCAATTAATCACAAAAAAAGCCACCAGTAGTACTGTAGCTCAAGAAGTTAGAGCACTAGTCTTGAGCAAAAGAAGCTTTGGGACAGTGCCCAGGTCCAGAGCTCAAGGCCCAGACCCAGGAAAAATAAAAATTAAGAAAAAAGTATATATATATATATATGTGGGGGGGGGGCCATATGTGTATATATATGTGTGTGTGTATATATACATATACACACACACACAAATATGTGTGTATGGGCCAAATACTAGTCATGCCTGCAATCCTAGCTATTCTGGAATCTTGAGTTCTGAGGATACAGGCACAAAGCTAGCTCAAGCAGAAAAATCTTGTCTACAATTAATCAGTAAAAATACTTGACTGCCGGCACGGCTCAGAGTGGTAGAGTGACAGCCACAATCAAAAAAAAGTTGAGGGGCTGGGAAGGTGGCTCAGTGGTAGAGCGCTTGCCTTGCATGCATGAGGCCCTGGGTTCGATTCCCCATCACCACATAAGCAAAAAGAAAAAAAGCTGGAAGTAGTGCTGTGGCTCAAGTGGTAGAGTGCTAGCCTTGAGCTGGAGAGCTGAGGGACGGAGAGCTGAGGGACAGCGCCCAGGCCCAGAGTTCAGGCCCCATGACCGGACCCCCCCCCAAAAAAAAAAAAGTTGAGTGGGGCAGGGAAGGTAGTTCAGTGGTAGAGTGCTTGCCTTGCATGCATGAGGCTCTGGGTTCAATTCCTCAGTACCACATAAGCAGAAAAAGCCAGAAGTGGTGCTGTGGCTCAAGTGGTAGAGTGCTAGCCTTGAGCTGAAGAGCTGAGGGACAGGGCTCGGGCCCAGAGTTCAAGTTCCACAACCTACCAAAAAAAAAAAAAAAAAGTTGAGTGGCTGGGAATGTGGCTTAGTGGTAGAGTGCTTGCCTAGCATGCATGAAGCCCTGAGTTTGATTCCTCAGTACCACATACACAGAAAAAGTCAGAAGTGGTGCTGTGGCTCAAGTAGTAGAGTGCTAAGCTTGAGCAAAAAGAAACTCAGGGACAGTACCCAGGCCCTGAGTTCAAGCTCCAGAACTACTGGCCAAAAAAAATTGAGTGATGTTGGGCACTGGTAGTTCATGCCAGTAATCCTAGCTACTAAGGAAGATGAAATCTGAAAATTGATATTCAAAGCCAAGCCTGAGCAGAAAGTCCATAGACTTACCTCCAATTAACCACCAAAAAGCTAGAAGTGGAACTGTGGTTCAAGTTGTAGAATGCCAGCCTTGAGCAACAGAAACTTAGGGACAGCACTGAGACCTGAGCTAAAGCACTACTACTAACACACACATACACACCAAAGCTGTAACTAATACACAGTTTATTTCCCTATAATTGAAATACCACTAAAATCTTTCATGATGGAAATAGCCTTGCTTGATCCCATCCCTAAAAGATATTTATACTACTTTTTGCCCCTGGCCCCCAGGAGCTTCACTGTGTTCCTGACTGCTGTTCCAGCATGTAGATGGGATGTGCTGTGTATCCATTCATCTATTTTTTTTATTTTTTATTTTAGTATTATAAACATTACAGAGGGGTTAAAGTTACCCAAGTCAGATAATGAGCACATCTTTTGGACAATGTTGCCTCCTCTTCTCCCAGTATTTTCCTCTTGTCTCTACCCACAAGTTGTACAGTTCATTTTCAACATAATGGCTAGTGAGTACCACTGCTGCATTTGTCTGCTCTCACATGTCGTTTCTGAGATCAGGTCTCCTTTCCTGAGTAGGCATGGGCCAGGACCATGGTCTATCTCATTTAAGCTTCCAGTGGCAGCTGGGAGGATGGGTCCCTGCACCCAGCTATGGGTTGATAAAGGGATCTTGGGTTTTCTGCCAGTGCTGGCCTTGAACCATGATCCTACATCCCCACCCCTGCACTCCAGATCCTGGGGCTTGAACTCAGGGCCTGGGCGCTGGAGCCATACCTCCACTTCTGGCTTTGTGTGTGTGTGTGTGTGTGTGTGTGTGTGTTTATTTGGAGATAAGAGTCTCATGGACTTTCCTGCCCCGGCTGGCTTTGAACTGCGATCCTAACATGTTAGCCTGGAGTAGCAAGGACGACAGGCGCGAGCCACAGGCACCGGGAGACAGAGCCCAGGGCACTGGCAGTGGATGCTGGGCTCGGAGAGGGCGCGGACCCGAGGGGCGGCAGGATCTTGAGAACCCAGGGAGGGCTCCAGACCCCCGGCTCTACTTGAGGAGGATGGGGGGGGCGGCGGCGAGGAACCCCAGGTCCGGGGGTGCACCCGGGAAGTGGCACCTAGCCTAGGGAGGGTAGATGGTGAGGGGGCCAGCGGGACCACAGGTTCGCAGCTCCGGGAGAGCGGGAGACGCCCTGCGCGGTCACGAGAGGCACACAAAGAGAGGGCCCCCGGCTCGGGGGCGAGCTGGGGAAGGGGGCCCCA